TCAACTAACTTCGGCAGTCGTGATGTTTTTCTCGTTGTTGGCTCGGCTTGTTTTGAGCGATAATTTGAAATTTCCGAGTCGATTGTCTTGTCCTCTTACCCATTATTTTTTAAGATTGTTTGCAATTTCGTAGTTAGGTGTTTGAATCACTGTAGGATGTACACAAGTGTTGAACGTACTTTGTACGAGTGCTCCTTTATAACGCTGTTAAAATTTACTAGTCGTTTAGCACCCTTTGTAATTTTCCGGTAATCTTTAATGACCAACAAACTGAGCGAGCCTTCAAGGCCTGTACATCTGACAGTAATTTGAAAGTTCAATCCCAAACCTGCACACGAATCTTGGTAAACAATGGATAAACGAAAAAAACAATAGACACAGTAATTTAAAATTATCGATCGATGTAAAACCGAGGCTACAGTGAACCAGCATCAAACAAATCTGCTACCAAAATCAGCTAGACATGTGCTACAAGGCAGATGAACAGCTCAATCGTGCAACATAATATCAGAAGCGCAATATAAAATGACAAATCAAAGTTCTGATACACACAAACAATAATACGAAAAAACTCGTCATACAGAACAATCATTTTGAAAATCAGGAATCCTACGAAAAACCAATGACGTTCATATAATTTCATACAATAAAGAAGGTCTAGGGCTTCTTTAAAATATAAACTACCTAGTACATTAGTTTGACAGCTACTACGTTGAGCTGCCGTCCCCACCAGTCCAGGGCCCATACTTTCAAAAAAAAAGTTAAGAGATCGTAAGTTCATCAGCCAATCATTGACGATCTTTCAAGCCAAATCCACCAATCATAGACAATAAAATAGAGCGTAAGTACTTACGTTCACTAAGCGAATTTTAAAAGTATGGCAACGGAAGAGCAATGAACCGCACGAGGGAGGCTCACAACAAGACCATCACTAACGTGGCACTGTGAGCAAGAACCAGCATCATCATGCAGTGCTCGATGCCACAAGACTGGCCATAACAGAGGCTCTGCTCTCATTATCAGGGGTGCGACACCAGCTTTCAATTTACAAACCACTGGAGTTTTCAAGAAATTTAAAATATTTTCCTAGTACTCTCAAGTTGTAATTTTCGAGTTGAATTTGCAACACCTAAATTTGTACTAATATCATTCAAAAAATAAATATAAAGTATTTTAAAACCTCCATTCCAATAGATAATTAATTACGTTAATATTAGGTATTAGTTATTTTTCAACTCTCAAATCAAACTAGAAGTATGAATTCATATAATTAGAAAAATTAAAAAAAAAATAGTTAATAAAACTTACTCTGTGATCACCAACAAAACTTGCAACAAAGAACAGTTTCTGCCTAACTATACAAATTATATTAGAGTTTTATTGGGTAATTTGTCTATGATGATGCTCATGCAACTACAAACTGCCAGAGAAAAAATAAATTCTCCATTGAAGAATTAGAAGAATCTGACATAAATCAATATAAATATTGTGAGCCAGAAAAGGAAATAGTGTTACGTACATCTATGGAAGCAATGAAGGATCTTGTCTTGCTAAAGTTAAGTAACTGGGTGGAAATAGAATGTAGGGAGAATTAGAACATGGCTGTCATAAATTAAGGAATAAGAATTCTTAGTCTGCTATAAATTTCTTCACCACTGGACTCTTTGGGGCAAGTCTCAATGAATATTAAAGTCTTTGGCTTGGTCTAGAAGCAAATGTATTGGAAAAATTGTCAAAAAATCCTACCTCTTCAGGCACTAGGGAGTATTTCAAAGGGCAATTTCAACAGGCAATTTGTGATGACCTTCAGAAGTTATGGTGTGGTTATAAGCTTGGCACATCTGACAAAGAGTGAACAGCTAAAAATCTTATGGCTTCTAGACTTTACTAGTCTGGCTAATTTAAGGTTTTGATCTACTCAAATAGTATAATTGTTTCTTCTCCCAAGGATTTATTTCACAGGTCTAAAAAATCAGATGAGAGAAAATTTGGAGTACGTACACTAACAGCTACAATAGCTTAATTTTTATTAACTCCTTAAAATGCAAGTTTGTCTGGTGCACCATCGTAATGTACCTATATAAATTTGTGTGTCAAGAAGCCCGGCATGAGTTTTTTTTTTTGACACATTTAGAAAGTGACCAGCACAGATGCTGAGGTAGCTGTTATCCTTCATTATAGACATTAAGGTTTGCATATCCAGAGTAGGTATTCACCATGACGTTCTAGATGCTAAGTTGACAGTTTATGCATTGTGAGAACGAAGTTTCTCACAATGGAAGTTTCTGAACTTCAAAGTTCAGAGTTTCTGAGGGTGGGAGCACCATGTCAATCGAAGGGATTGATTGACCCCCACAGAGAGAACCCAATAGCTGGCCAGCCTAGCTGCTGGCCAGAATAAAACTAATTAGTACTCACTTAAGGAGTATGTTGACCTGATGTTTGAAAATGATTGATGAGACCCATTATGTACCGTCAAACGGGGTAAAAAGGGACGGGCGGGGTAAATAGGGACACATGTCCCACATTTTGTAGAAAGGTTGTAGCAGCTAAACTAATCAAAATATTGCAAAACTATAAATAGTGGCATAAACTTCAATATTTTTACTCTCTATTATGTATAAAGCTAGTCAAGAAATCAAACATTTATAGTCAGATGGGGTAAGACAGGACCAAAATCACTAACAAGCCCGTAGCATCTATATCATGAATAATTAAAAAATCCTAAACATATCACAAGGTGTATCTATGCAATAGGCTTCTAAGCTACAATTCTGACATTTTGCATCTAACATAGTTTTCTGTACAGATTAAAAAAAGTGAACTGGTCCCATCTTACCCCATTGGGGTAAGATGGGACCAGGCATGACCTTTTCCCCCATTTGACGGTACTCATTCCTCTTTAATGACCATGTTACCTACCACCTTGTTTTAAGGCAAGTATAAGCAGAGGTGGGCACAGCTAACCAAAATGTTAGCGTCAATAACCATTAATCCGCTAACAGAAAAGTTAGCTTTTATACTGCTAAACCAATAAATTGCTGAAAAATTTAGCTGAATTTAACACTAACTGCTAACTTATAGTAATTAATTTAGCTTTGGCTTAATATTTTTGGGGGCTCTGAAACTCTTAAAAACAGAACTAGAGAGCTGAACTTTTAATATGTTGTAGCATTGACAAGGTGCTTTCTAAAAAGGTGTAGCATGCCAAGACCAGATGATGAGCAAGATGTACATAAATAATTAAATGAATAAATGAAATTAAGCAGTAGTTGACATTCAACATACAGTTTATTAAACAAATAAGAAATAGTAAGAAATAAAAACACGCAGGTAAAAGCAGGGTTACACACAACTCACTCTGGCTTGCACTTCATCTCCTAGAGCTGATGATTTTTGCCCTTGATGAACATCAGCCTCTCAATGCTGCATCAATCAATCACGTCCTGTGCTACAACAAAATGTAGCAGTAACACAAGACGTGATTGGTTGACGTACATATGTTGACGTAATCAGCCATCAGTATGGCACATGACTGATGATACCCAACATTAAATATTAACACCTGAATTTTCTATCATATGAGATTTTAAAACATTTTTATTGGACTGCCAGTTAGCGGGACTAAATTTAGCAGAAGCTAATTGATCTGCAAATGGTTTTCAAAGTTGGCTGAAATGCTAATCCAATAAGGGTGAAGTTAGCTTTGCTAATTAGCAGTTAGCAGAAATGTGCCCACCACTGAGTATAAGACAGAAGGCGTCCTGTACTTATCCCTCAAATGTTGGAGGATTCTTGTTCTCAGGTTGATTGAATAAATAACAGTTTAATCAGGGTATCACATAAATATTGCACCAGACATAATCTTACAAACAGACATAGTACATTTATCTAAAAAGTTTTATTTTGGGTCAAAAAATTAGTCTACTTAAGAGAAATCTCAGATGCTATTTATGCAGTAGATGGTAAAGTGCTAAGCAAATTGGTGCATTTGTACAAAAATGGTAGCTTGTATTTAAATATTAATAATATATATTAGGATGAAATTTAGTACTCATAGACTCATAGTTATGTAAGTTGGCTAGATGATAATTAATGACAATAATTGATCCTCAGATGCATGAATTGCAGTGATAAACATTTCCATAGCTTTTTTCTCATTCAATTTATTTAGCTTGAAAGTATGATCGTCCAGTACAAATGATTTGTTAAAACATGTTCCTTTGAATATGGTGGAGGCCATGTCTTAATAACCCATTCTTTTCCAGTGATGAGAGCTAACATATTTTATTTAATTACTCATAATTACTTTGTGTTAATTGAATCATAAATAAAATTTTCTGGATTTCAGAGGGCTGCAAGAAAATGAAGACTCATTAGTAAATAGGTATAGCCATATAGGGTAAACTAGAGACATTTTGTTGGCCATATCTCTTAGCCTATCTAATTGTTAATAAAAGAGCACAATTGTGAAAGTTTTAGAATGCACTAAAAATATGAGATTGACTGTAAGTCTGTAACTGTAAATACTGTTATGGTAGCTGGTAGTGGTAGTTAATAACTGCCCATAGATTATACATATTTTAACATAGTGGCAAACCAGAGATTTCTCCAAATCAATTCAGGGTTAATTTCCTTTGTCTACTTACTCAAGTTTTGAACCAATATCTTATGTTATGTATGATAATGCTGGTATCTATCTATGATAGGTACTTTTCTGGTCTAATCAGCAGTCCATATTATATATGAAATATGTATACATACCTAGTATATATACATATTACATAATACATATATAATATGAGCTGCAAATTCTAGTATGGACACAGAATTCTGCTACAGATTAGCTACATACTGATAACTGATACTGTGATACACATACACCAACAGTCCAACACAAAGGTTGTAAGAAATACCTAAGTCTTTTAAAAGTTCTTCAACATATTTTATTGCTGAAAAACTTTTATAAATATCATTAACTATTGGTAGTTGGTACTAACCTGCATGCTATCAGCGCTGATGATTTCCCCGTTAAACTTTTGAGCAATTTCAATGGCGAGCTTTGATTTGCCTGCTCCCGTTGCTCCCAACACAACCACCACTGGATGTGAGGACATAGCTCTGAAAACTGATCTAAAACTTCGGTGCACACCAGAGATCATCTTTCGATCAGTCAATAAACTTTTACATTATGCTACCTCTGAACGCAATTCAAGCAACTTCAGACACAAGCTGCGAGATCTGCAAAGCGGCAATCGTACATCTTCACACCCAGGCACCTGAATCTTAACTGCTGGCACTCGTTTGTTTTTGGCTTATTTGGCGGTGCGGAAAATGCAAAGTTGGTCACTTGCTTGCAGTATGGTTAACTTGGGTGAAACAACCGCCCTCAAAACAATTCAGGCAACAGCTATTATGTTTCTGTATTTTTTGACATGCAGACTCATTCTCCTCTTCGCATACATTAGTATTTATCCAAATTTTTGACGTATTCATAAGACATTTTGTCGATATGATCGACATAAATGGACTGTAAATTGAATGAATATTTGCACCATCAAAATACCAAGCTATTTTAGGGCACAAGACTTTCTTTCAGAAAAGACAAACAGCCCTCAAAACAATTCAGGAAACTGTTATTTTGTTTAACTAGCTTGAGTAAACTTTATATTCGAACTTTAACCATTGCAATTTAGCATAATGCATATCACCTGTCTAAGTTGCTCATCAGATATCGTCTTAGATAACCGAGATATATATATCAGCATAGAACACACAAAAGATATCATCAGATCACTGAGTGATCAAAAATATATCCTGCAAGAGGAACGAGTTCTTTTTGATATTACAGATAGCGGCAATTGGGGGTCGTACCATCACTACTGAGCATGAACGACGATCACCTGATTTGAAGTATAACTGAACTATTCATATCATTCCTGAAACCACGGTTCACATAATTCACAGCAACATCACTATGAACGTTTAGTGGCTGCACCACTGCAAAGAAGTTTTTGCGTCTAACAGTTCATTTATAAAAAAAAACATTGTGCCTAATTTGTTATTTTTCAATCATATTGTGTTTGACATCTGTATTTGGAGTTCAAGCTATCTTTATTGCACTTTGAAACAATAACCGCTGGTTTCAAAACTAATTGCTAGTAGTAGTCAACACTACTTGACATTATTCGTTGAAAATCAAAAAATTATTGCGTTTGCAGATGAGGTGATGCAATAATTTTCTTTGTATATTTTTATATATTGAGTTACCACCTAGGCTTTTACAAGCATTAAATCTAAAGAACTTCTGCGTTTGATTTGAACAATTTGAGCATTTTAGTTCAGGTGAATTCAGAGTTATTAAAAAAAACATAGGTGAATGAATGAAATAACTGATATTCGATATAATTTTATAAGAGTTTGTGTATGGAATATTAATGACTTAGACGTATAAACACTGCTAACGACCCATTACATATGACTCATGGACGATCCACCAAAACAATTATTCCAGTGCCCCTATAAAAATTCAAAGAAAACGAATGTTCCAAAAAGAAAAACGCAAAAAGGTATGCGGTGGTAAACTAAAAAAATAACCCTGACAGGGACAACCAGCAATAACAATAGGTCACGAATAATTCGATAAGGTTTGTGTTCAAGAAGTTAAAGTTGTTTTGATTGGTATTACCAAACATTTTTGCGTGTGCTATGCAACTGGTACCGACATTAAGTGCTAGTTATGAACATGTGTTTCAGTATAGGCTATAGGGGTCAGATGCTGGGCTCGTACAAGCACATTCAGCAAGCCACGAACCGGTTGCTTATGTGCCTAGCTGGGATGGATTTTAACTCAACGTCAGAGCGCTAAGATCTCTCAACGATTGACAATGTGAGCAACCATAGCTTTAGCGTCCGTACAATGAACATTGAAGTGCATCAAGTGAAACATTATTCATGCATTTATACCAGAAGCAATTAAATAATCATATTCAGTGAGTTACTGAATTTCACTTAATACGATAATAATGCGTAATAACAAAATAGATTCGGTCGTCTAAAAAAAGCTTATAGAGAATTTATCAAATGATATCAGCATCCACTTTTCACGATAAATTAATATATCAAGAGAGGGCCAGGCGCAATAGGACACGTACCTATGCAATGGACACTTACTAATTGCACAATAGTACGGCATGACTGCAATATCAGCGTATTTCAGAGATGATATTGACATTTTTACATTATATGTACTACATAGGGAAGAAAATATTGCAAATTATATGTAAGTATTACCAAGGTAGTAGTATAATTTAGTAGTAATTTGCGTACGTAAAATGTATTATTGATAAAGGAAAAAAAAATAATTAAAGAGCTCACACTATTCCTTAGATCCATAAAAGAATAGATGAATGTATGATTCAGTTGTTTTTTGTTTGAACACGACTGTTATTTCGAGACCTCTGCAGTCTCTCCGAGACAAGTGAGCGCTGAATACCGCCCTGCTGGACAGCGAGTAACAGAAATGGACTTTAAATTGCATGAATATCTGTACCATCAAAAAACCAAGTCATTTTAGGGGACACGACTCTGTTCCAGAAAAGACGATCAACACTCAAAACAATTCAGGAAACCGTTATAATTTTTAAATTACTTGTATAAATTTGAGTCAGCTTAACATTCGAACTTTAAACATTGCAACTTATGGATATAATGGATAACCGAGTTATGAACTTATGGATATAGTGGATTTCCCTGTCAGTCCATCTTATCTAACTTTAAACATCAGAACTTGGCATAAACGATATCCATAGATAAAACTAAGAACTTAGTATAAACGATATCCATAGAATGAATTGAAAAGTTTCATGTGTAGCTAGTCGGCGAGCAAACAGACGCCGGCCCGCGGAGCCGTCTGGTTGGCCCAAGATTCCGCGAATTCTTGGGATTGATGCCTCACTAAAAAAATACCGCGGCCAAAAATGAGGAGCTTTATGGAGTTAGTAGCAACTTACTGAAGACTAGTGTCGGCAACCACCAGGAGGACGCACCGATGAAACTTTCTCTCATCAAAGCCCTCGTTTGAACAGGTATTTATTATATCAATATTGGTATTGCTAACTAGGCATAAATTCTTCTTTAATGCAGGTTTTTATCATCATTTTGCGATAGAAATTTTTCGATAAACAATAAGAAAATTTGGAATACGAATTATATCAAAGTTCATATATGTTTATAAATTGTGGTGTGTTAAGTATTGTTCATACATTTCATGCGCACATATTAATATGTTTTATACGAACACTATAGTATTTCCAATGGGCTGGAATTACACGTGCACTATCGTTTCCTATATATAATACGCCGGCACCGCCAGCGGTCAGTTATTATTCGTCCTAGCATGTTATACATTATCCGGCAGGTATTTTCACTATAGTTCACTAGCACCAGCACTCCACCTGGAACACCAGCACCACCATCACCACAACAATTACCACCCAACCACCAACACTACCACCACCATTAGACCCGTGCACCAGCACCACCATCACCACAACAAACACCAGAAGTTGCCGCGTCCTAAAAAATTAGGCAAATTACCGTTTGGTATTTAAAATAGCAAACACAGGTTACAAATTGAGGTACGATGTCAGACAAGTCTGTTCATAGTAAATTAGGAATATACAAGGAATAAACTTTAATCGCATATACTCTCGATTTTGATTGATGTTTTATTTCTGTATTCAGCATTTTTACTTTTGGTTCATCAAGGTATGAGAATGGAAAATTGAAGGACCTAAATATTCCGAGTCTTAAATCCGATGACGTCACCTATTCCCCTTTGTTATCCTCTGCAGCAATAAACAGAGCAATAAACTGTGCTGCAATCAACTTTGATGCCACGTTAAAGAAGGGCCAGAAAAAGTATGAGAATCTTACGTTATCTTTACGCCGGCACGACGATCGCTTGGAAAACTTAACTCTGCATGGTACAGGACGTGGAAACTGAAACTTCGATCGTTTCTTGTACACCAGCGCAGTGATAGGTTACTTGAGAATAAACGTCCCACCTTTACTTCTGTTATGGGATTACTTTCATTTGTATAGAACTTTAAAACTACGATGATAATTCCGTGCGCAAAAAAGTGTTATTTTATAAAAAATTAGTTAATAATTAAGGGCTTGAAGACTTCAGGTGATGTCGACGGGAACTGGTAAGAGCTTAAAATATTTGTATATTTTAATAAATATAAAATATGATGAAATTTTTGAGAAAGGCAGGAGAAAATTTATCATAAAAGTCGTCATAACAAATTTTTCTTTCGGCCTGTCGGCATTAAAAGGCGATACAGAATCCAGTCAGGCGTGCACAAACTTGAAAATAATGCAATAAAAGTCTTTACATTTTCCAATTGTTTGATATTCTTACGCAACGTTAATCTCTTCAGGAACGATAAAATCGCACTTTTTATTTGTGTTAATTACGGGTAAATGCATCAAATTTTAAAAACTCCGTTCTCATTTTAAGGAAATCAATATATGTCATTCGGCACTGTATAAGGACCGTGTTACAGCGTTCGTTACGATTGCTCTCCGATGAAAGAATCTGTAACAACTTTTTCGACATCGCACCAAAAAACAGTTACAGGAGGTTTACCCCGCGCCGCCCTAATGCTAATATCGGCCCATCTAACGGAACAGCAAGCATGCAGTCTCTTGCTTTTATGACCGAGAACAACGTCGAGATAACAGGCACAAGTCTGGACTCGCAATGAAGTTAGATTTGGATCGAGGGTTGCTTCAAAGATGCGGTCTGCGAGGTGACGCTAGAAATAAATAATACGGGTGTGGTTGATAAATGGAATAGTTTATCATTTGAAAGAACTTAATTATTGAATGATAATGTTAAGGTTACCCGTGAATTATATATCCAGAGAAACTGGATGAATTCTTATGATGCGTCTAAAAATATCGTATGATTTCATGCTTTAAGCCACTAAGTAGTATAGAGACCGAGCGCATGGCGCCATTTTCCATAAACAGCTTAAATCATAGGTTACCCCCAATCTTACCCTCGAATATTACCAACAAAATTACCCAATTACTCCTGAATAAAACCTCCTTCAATATTATTACCAACCATTTACCCCAAATCTTAACCCTAATGCTAATATCGGCCCATCTAACGGAACAGCAAGCATGCAGTTTCGTCTCTTGCTTTTATGACCGAGAACAACGTCGAGATAACAGGCACGAGTCTGGACTCGCAATGAGGTTAGATTTGGATCGAGTGTTGCTTCAAAGATGCGGTCTGTGAAGTGACGCTAGAAATAAATAATAAAATAA